AACCTCCCCTCCCCCTGCCCTCCTCCCGGCTGCGGCTGCTGTGGAGGTAGTAGCGGGGTGCCGCCGCTACAGCAGTGACGTCACGGGCGACTTGGGTGCTGCAGCGGGGGCTGTGGGGGTAGTAGTAGTAAGTCTACTGCTGCCTCCACGGCTCCACGACAGCTGCATCCGAGTCGCCCGTGACGTCACTGCTGTAGTGGTGGCAGTCTGCTACTACATCCACAGTTGCCACAGCTTCTAGCTAACTAGGTGTATGAAATCAAGTCAAATGTCAGATATAGTCATTTTTTATTCTTTATTGTTTCAAATCATTTACATTTTAAGAGTAAGTCTTCCTCTAGTAGCTGGCTTCTTTCTGCTGGTTGCTGGTGACTTGAGGTGAATCTGAATACCTGAAAAAGAATGAAACAAATCTATAAGTTTAATTATAATTATCTCAGAGTTCAAACTCAAACGTTTTCTGGTCCATATGTATCACTGTGATGCCAACTCATCAAATGAACTTTCTATGTTACAGGTGGCCAGCATCAAGTCCAGGCACATCCCTTTGGACAAGAAGCAGCATCACTTCCTATTTTACTACGACTGTACCAGACAAATGAAATAAATAGCATTACTGTCAGTGATTACTAATGATTTGCCTCCAGTTCCGCACTAAATTTAAAACACAATATATTTTAGGCTCAAGTAATAAGCCATATATATGCAATGAGAATAAGCAGTAAAGAAATGACAAGTAACCCCCAAATAGCAACAATACCACAATAAACTTTTGCCAGGCATGACTATCATAGATGTACTGGTATTTTATGTTAACATCACACATTGAAAGTCAAAACTTACCAGATTAACTCCTGCGATCATCAGAAAAAGGAGCGATTCCTCCTGCTGTGTGCTGCGACACCAACTCAGCATACAGCAGGTGACCCATAGGCTGCTTTGCTGATGTCCAAGTCAGGTACACCTCCAGGCCGATCCCTGCAACAAACCAAAGACGCAATTTTATAGTCGAAGAAACAGGATGCAAAAGAGGCAGGAGCACGCAATTTCGACAGAGGAGGTCAAAGGCGACCCACCTAGACCAATTCCAATCATTTCCAGCGATTTTAATTTTTTTCATTTTTGGCCAAATTTACAAAGGCTATAGCCTTTGTATTTTTAGAGAAAATTGATGGGTCCAGATTTCAATGGGAAAGTAGTCGAATCGACAGAGGGGAACGAGGGAACCACAAAACTACTTTTGGTTCCGTCAGAAACCACCCCTGTCCAGAGAAACTTGAGTTTTAAGGGGTGATCTTTTGAATCTGGCGGGCAGCGTACCATGGGCTGCCTACCTAGCAGGCGAGCCCAAGAAAAACAGGCAAAACTCACTTAAAATGGCCCGGCGGCGTGAAATTTCGACGGAGAGATTGAAAGAGGATGCTGTCTGGCCAATCCCAACCATTTCCAGCAATTTTTATTTTTTTCATTTTTGGCCAAATTTACAAAGGCTATATAGCCTTTGTGTTTTTAGCGAAAATTGATGGGTCCGGATTTCGACGGAAAAGTAGTCGAATCGACAGGGGTGAACCAGGGGACCACAAAATTACTTTTGGTTCCGCCAGAAACAACCCCTGTTCAGAGAAATTTGAGTTTTAAGGGGTGGTCTTTTGAATCTGGCGCGCTAGCCGGTCCAAATAGAAACAATACCAAAATAAACTTTTACCAGACATGACTACCATAAAACTACTGGTATTTTAAGTTAACATCACATTGAAGGTCAAAACTTACCTGATTCAGTCCTGTGATCATGAGAAAAAGGGGCCATTTTTCATGCTGTGTGCCGTGACGCCAACTCAGCATACATCAGGTGACACATAGGCTGCGTAGCTGATGACGAGCACAGATGCAACTATTGAACAGTTTTCCTGCAACAGGTTCAAATCAGAATTTTGGTCTACATGTATCAAGGTGACACCAACTCCTCTCTGTACTCCTTGCAGTTTCAGGTGGCTGCTTAAAATTGATGTGCCATGCTTCAAAAGCACTGCCTAGGACAAGCAACCTCTATCTTCCAACGGATGTATAAATAAACAAAACTAAACTGAAAAGGAACTAGTGAACTCCTGTGAGGATAATCCTCTCAGCTCACAAAAGACCCTTTTTTTATCCTAATTTGATTGCAGATTCTTTTAACCAATATATTATTATAAATGTACCCTCCTCATTAAAGAAAATGGGCTAGAGAGTGGACCTAATCAGAACTAGTAGAAATGTCCTAGGAGCTAGATAGTAAAGATCAGTTTAATGCTCAATGATTTAAACACATATTTTTAAGTCTCAGACTTGATAAAAATAAATATTGTCATAATTAGCAAAATTGTAACCCCTCTCAATATGAAATTGTACTCACCATGTAAAACGATCCAAGTATTATAGTCTGACCATGAAAGTTGGTGCGGAGAGATCATCCTCATCAATCTCCAAGGACAAATTCAATTTGTCCTTTAAAATATCGAGTTCCACTCCTATCCCGTCTTGTAAGACCAAAGAATTCTTGCTTTTTTTCTTTTAATGAGAATCACCTGAGAAGAATAGAAATACAGATCTTCATCCATTTATATGATAAAACACATCTAAGACTTCAATGATCTTAGTTTCGCATAGATACAGAAAAATTCAAAATTAAATCTTGTAGAACTTGCATTGTGGATATTGCAGAACAAAAGATTCAGGAACTAAGCTATTATTAATCATTCTTACATTAGCACCCCTGAACCCTGCATTCTACTCCCCATCATTTTGAAAATGATGGAGCTCATCCTTTGGCACCACTGGTACGTTCATCTGTTACAAAAATTAATAGAGTTTCACTTACCTTAACTTTGGTTTTAGATTGCTTCCGCTTTGGGAATAAGTATTGCATCTTCCATTCTTTGGTTTACTGTGATAAAAGCATTCAGACAGACTTGCATCTGTCTCGTGTCTTCGCTTTCAGCATTTAAAAAATTAAAAAAAATAAGTGTACAGATGTACCCATGATATGATGTCACAAGCAGAAAGTTCATCTGAAAGCAATGAAAATTAATTAAACGCTAATGTTAGCAGCAAACTATACTTTTCTAAAATAATTACAAAATTCCAATTATCTTAGGTAAAAGTCATCATGTTTCATCTCTGTCACTTCACTGAATGATTGTGGTCTGATCATTACAACCTAAGTAGTTGAGGAAAGGAAGGTTTAACAACCGAAACTCACTAAAGTTATCACATGGGGTTTGACTGATTTACATAATTTGCTGTATAATTTGGCTGAGGAAGCGCTATCTGGAGTACGGCATTTGGCTAAATTTCCTTATTGGATCCTGTAAATCCTAAGTTCCTAATTTATTAGCCTCCACTCAGCACCGACAAGAAAGCACGGACACAAAACGAACGTTGTTTAACAGTTTATTTGTGCCGCATCAATGATGCAATTTGATGATACAACATTTGCTAGAGCTCTGGGCAGAAATAGCACAAAAAATAAATTTACAGAATGAATAAGTTAATTGGTAGCATGAAAGCCTGTGCAGCAGGATGACATATCACTGGTAACAGCAGCAAATAAATATACACTTCATCTTCCATGAGAGAGAATTTTAACAAATCATTTCACTGGATAGATAGATGTTCTCAACAGACAACAATCAAGATCTAAAAGACCTGGTTACCTTGCAACTTACAATTGTAAGTTCAAGTAAGCAATTGTATTTCTTCTACAGAGTTAGGTATTTACAAAATTAAAAATAGATTATAAAATTATAATTAAGGGTAAGAACTACTTTAAATTAGAGATGATACCAACATCACAAGGTCCACTCCACTCATAGCATGCAGACTTAAAGTTAGCCATAACAGTAACTTTTTCAGCTCTTACACCACTATTTTCAAAAAATTGATAGATAGATAGATAAAGAAAAAAGAAAAAACCCTGAAGAAACATTTAAGTAATAGTTCACACATAGAATATAAAATAATAGCTAAAATTGTTACATTGTTTAAAACTTCATAAAAGTTTTTAGCTTGGTGGATAGTTATGATTGCAATAGCAGCATGACTTTCAAGGTGAGATCAGTACTAGTTTAACTCTAAGCAGAAAGTTACTACTAAACAATGAATCAAACAAACATACCATTGAAGAAACAAACAAATGGACAAAAAAACTTTCACACATTTATAAACCATTCAAAATGGCATTATGATGGCACATGTAAAGTACAGTTCTAAAAAAGGAATCTTTACGCACGTCCTAATTGTATCAGAAAAATAATGCAATAAAAGTTGGCACTCAGTTACCACGTGGTATGTGAGTTGCTTTACAAGGGCTCAGAGGGAGCTCGGAATGTAGAGTGGGGGGACGAAAACGCTGTGAGAACCTCACTTTGCCGTCTGTGTTGATATGTTAACGGTGCAGCCAATCGAGTGTCGTGACGTTTATAATGATCATTGAAATCAAGCCTAGAACTTAACAATTGCAAACTTATTTCAGGATGACTGGCAAGAAGAAGCAGAAACCGCTTTACAACTTCTTGATAGCTCTGAGCCAAAACACGTAAACCAACTCTTGTTGATGACAAGAACTGCTCAAATTCTTTAATGGCAGCTTGGTTTTGCCCTTCAATGTTATTGTTTGTACCATGTTCTTCAATATACTTTTCTAGCTCTGCCCTGCGTTGTACTTCTCGAACAACACAGACATGGAGCTTTTCTTCCAAAGCTTGCAGTTGAAGAGCCAGGTCATATATGGTCCGTAATTGGGTGGAGAGTTCCTAAAATACAATTATAATTCACAAATTAAAAAAAATAAAAAATGATCATGATTTCTTTTAATCTAAGTATGTTGTCAGAGTGATCACACATACCTCTGAGGAATCATCAACCAATGCCCCAGCCTTGATTCTTCCAAGAAATTGATTGTGAGCTTTTATTATATCATCCAAGCCATCAGCCTGCTGAACATTACTAATTAGTTTGTCCCAAGAACATTCCATTACTTCAAATAAGAAATAGTACTGAAGTTGATGAATCATATGAATCATTTCAGCAGACAACAAATATAATTGTTGAAGCACAGGAGACAACTCTAGAACAGAAATAAAAATGAGAAAAGGTTCTGTTTTTAAAATATTAATATTAGGATTTATCTATGCCAAGCTTGAGTTTCCTCACCAGGAATCCTTGGTAACATTTTAGCTGAGGTTGTTAAGCGCTTCCACATCAGAGACAAAATCCATTCAATGCGTTTAGCACGCCATAGTGCATTAAAAAGCATAAGATATGACAAAGTGCAAGAAGAGAAGACCTGTCAAAAAGTATGTGCTTTAGAAGACGACAAGAACTTGTTTCTTCTGTTATTAAACAAGAAAAATACACTAACTGTTCCAATTGGACCATCCATGTTATAATCCATGCTGAATATATCCCATCCAGTGTCGCCTGGGCTATGTTCAAGGAGACGCACATCCAGACGTTGCAAAATTGAAACATCTTCAAACTGAGCATTTGTTGATCGAATAGCTGACTCTAATATGCCTGACAGGTTGTGAGAGTTGAGTTCGGAAGCAGGTTTTCGCAACTCGGGCCTGTAAGGTGACCAAGTATCAAATTACTATTAGACTTGACGAAAAAAGAAAAAAATCACCTCACATAAAACAAAAACCTTACTCCAGGATCTCCATTAAATGACGTATAAAATCTCCCTGGCCAAGTAGCAAGTACCGCCTCAGTGCTTGCATGTGTTCCATAAATTTATATTTGCTGTTCAAAACATCAAGTACTCTTCGAGAAATTTCAAGATATGTCGTGTCCATTAAGCTCTGAAGGTCACTGTGCTGATCTAAAGCAAACAATGCCTCAGCTGGAAAAAAAAATGATTTATAGGAACAAATTGAAGTACCTTAACATCTGACTTCCGTTTTTTGAAGAAATTGCTTACCACTACTTTTTTCCAAGGCTTGCCGCAACATTTCTCTACTATTAACAGGTGAATGATCTTCACATACTTGTCGTAAAAAGTTAATGCTTTTACCAGTTGCTAAAATTTTTCGAGCCTGAGCCATAGATATAAAGGATGGGATCATTGACTCTCTAAAATTGGAAGTAAAAGATTGTACAATCAATAAAAAGAGATAAAATCACACCACACTCCGCAGATAAGGAAACAGTGCACTCACCTAACTTTGTACTTTTCATGCCATAGTTGATCATCACTTTTAATCTGTAAGTTAGTTTGGACGAAGAATTCTTGAAACGGATCTTCAAGTTCCCCATCCAATATCCATCTTGAAAGCATGGCATACAGAGGTTTGCAGACCTAGAAAAATGAACAGTTTATTTATTTTTCCTAACAACAAAAAGAATGAGAAAGGAGAAAGGAAACACCAGAAGAAAAAAAAGAAAAAAAAGGTAAAGCAGCACAGACAACAATGTTCATACAATGCATTTTTAGCAATCAATGGTAGACTTACAGCCACAAGAAGGGTGTGCACAATATTACAGGCATACTTGTCACCATTTCTCAGAAACCCATGAACAGTTGATACAAGAGCACCACCCTTTTTATCTTGGCATGCTTCACAAACAGCAACCAACCACCTAAGGCGGGTAAATGGCAGGCGTGTATGGACTTCCAATTGGAGAAGTGTTAAAGCTGGTTGGTTTAAGGAGCTCTGAGATCCTCCAGAGCCTCTTGAAGCACCTTCTGACATGGGAGACTCAATACTTCTCTCGGTTTGTTGATGGAGCTAACAAAACAATAAACACGATCAATAATTCATTCAAAATATATATGATACTAGGGAGTAGAATACCCTAATTTAAATGTGTGTATGCCACAGCTGACATCTACCTGAGACTGAAGATCAGCCAAGATCCTGTAAAACTCAGTTAGTTCACTGGAAATAACAGTATTTAAAGCTTGTGCAATGAGGCCTTTGCTGACGGAGCGATGCCTGTCTGCCTCACGGAAAGCTTCCAGTTTATTATGAAGCCATCCTAATTCTGCTAATCGTTCAACAATTCTTCGCTGCGGCCTGGATAGCTGAAACTATGTTGAAAATACCAAATTAATATTTGAAAGAAAACAGAACCATGAAGAAGGTACGCAAAAAAAGGCTACTTTGATCTACCTTATGGCTAATATAAAAGCCACTGCTGGTAGAATCACGTTTGAGAACTTTCCCTTCAATTCCTTGAAAACTGTACAACAGCTCTTGAATGATTGTCTGCTCAGAGACATTTGGCTGATCTAAAAGAGATCACAGAAAGGAAGAATCAAATGAGTTGAAATGTGGAGAAAAAGAGACAATTTTACATTTCTTTGAATCTTACCAAAATGACCACTAGTTTCAGACCAAACAGCACGAGGACTTGCGCAGGACAAAGTATGAGGTTTAGTCCCTGAAGAAGAATAATAGATTAAGACATATTACAAGTTACATCACTTCCCATTTAGAAAAAAATGACTCACTGTGAAAGGTGAATGAAAATAATTAAAATGACTACCTGTAGTAATTGGAGTGGTCTTCTTTACAACCATACTAGTAGCATTGTTGTTTTCCCAGTTTTTCTCCCAGGCTTTACTCTTAGAATTAAGGTTCAGAGATTCCATATTCGCTAGGCTGTTTATCTGCATTTCCTGATCAGATAGATTTTAATTATTGCAAATTCAGAACACAAAGAGCTTTGATGACACATAGCATTAACAAAAGTTCAATCATATACATACCATTAATACTTTATCTGATCTTGAAGAGGGAACAGTCAGATCACTCAAACTACTCAGTAAAGCAATTATTTCTGCTTTGTTCTTGAGAATAGAACACTGGAGGTGTGAGAAATATACCATTAAACGAAGAGAACTTATATCAAAACAAGTTATAGAGAAATGAACTGTAGACACATACATGAGTTTTGAGCTTGCGATGCAGATCACGGAAAGTAGCAACTTCTTCTTTTCCAATGAGTGAAAGTTTTTGTTTGATACCCTCAACAATAACAAATTCGTTCACAGCAGTCTCCGATATATATTTGTGATCGTCCAACGTTTTGATTGCAATGCCAAGTAGATGGGTAGGAGAAGCACCTGTTCAAAAGACAAAGATACAGAAACAACGGAAGTCAAATTAACGAAAATTAGTTCAAGATAAACCAATGATTAGTGAAGGAAGCACACAATTTCCAGGAATTGTTTTTTTAGGTGACAATAAAGTTCATATAAAAAGTCAGCAGATTTTGATTGAAATAAAATGAGTCCTAACCTCCGAAAACCTGAAAGTCTAAAACGACAACTCGCAATGCAGATTACATTTAAAGATAGACAACAATAAAATGGCATTGCGCCTCTAGAACCTTTATTGAGTGAGCGAAAAATGGACTAACCCTAGTCAAACTTTTCAGTACGACAGCGACAAGGCCCGACGAAATTTACCTTTCTCATTTTCACCCAGACGGACACAAAGGTCATACAAAAGTTTCGATTGGACTAGTGCAGCTGGGTGACCACTGTTCATAATGACACTGGCATAGTAAACAAGAAAAGTGCCTTCTTTTAAGAGCTGAGAAAATATTGACAGCTACTCGATCCACCCCTTTTTTTCAGCCGACTGTAGCGAGTTTGCGCGGGAGGAGGGAGGAGTCAATCATCGTATGAGAAATCGATACGAAGAAACAGATGAGAAATCGGATTAGCTGTCCCAAACTACTGGATAAAGCAGACGCAACTGTACCTACGTAAGTCAGGCGAAAGGCATAGAAGCAAATCAACTACATCAGGTGATATTTCTTTCAATTCTAGCATGTAAAGGCGTACTGCAAAAGCAAACAAATGATTTTTTCGAAACTTCCCGCTGTTTTCACACATGTATCAGTCATCTGTTTCTTGTTTTTGTTGGTGGGTGAGGAGGGGCGAGGGGAGAGGGGTAGGTCTTGGTCTCTAGTGAATTTGTTGTGATTAATTCGTTTGAAGTGTAGTGATTTCAAAATGGATAGTATGGACATCGATGATGATGTCCTTTCTGAAAACAATGTCCAATCTGGCGACAACCAAAGTGTTGCGAATGACACATCAGACAAGTCTGGGAAAACGGTTAATTTAAAAATTTATTTCATTCATAGTTTTAGAGTACCATGCTTACTTAGTTTAGTGTGTGTTCCAGTTTTTGAACTTAAGTGTTTATTGTTTCAGCTTCGCGCTTCAAATGACTTATTTATTGCAGAAGGAGTATACACCGACTGTGAAAATATCCTGAAAGAGTTTCTGCTACTTCAAACCAGTACGTTCGAAGATTTTGGAAAAATATGGAAAGAGAAAAAGTTTACTGAAATTTATACGTAAGTTTTCAACTTCCCATTCTTATGTGTTCTTGCAAATTTATTGTATTAATCTTCCTATCTTCTAATTTCAGTGGCAAAGACACATTTGCAGAATTGTTGGAATTCTCTGAAGAAGTATTGACTATTGCAAAATCTTTCATCCTGCCCCCACACAGCCAAATAAAGAGGATTGGTGCTTTGTATTTGATGTATGGATTATATACCCAGCAGCCGTTGAGGGGTTCAGTCAAATACAGAGTAACTCCTCAAGAATGGAGTGTTATTCTAAAATTTGTGGAAAATCTTAAAATGCATGGATTTATTGATGCTAATTATATATTTCACAAATTGAGTTATGAGGGAGCATTTCTCACTGTTGCAAATGCTCGAGAGGTACATTATTTCAAAATCATTCCATTTAACTCACGGGCTTGGCATTCTACCCGTTTTACTTTACACATTTTTTTTCTTCTCAAATTTAGTATGGATTGGAGAGAAACTATCGGAAATACTTAATGCCTTGGCCTGCACGTGACCAAGAACATTTACCTGAAGCAACCTACTCGTTAGAAACACTGATGGGACGCGTCTACCGAGGGAGTCTGAAGGCCGCTGCAGAGAAATGCCGCAGCAAGTACAACAACATCAAAGTCTTGCTGGAAGGTAGCCTTTTTAAATCTCTTTTCAGCCGGTAGAATACCAGACTGAGATAACTTTATTTGGTATTGGATTATCTTGGTTTTATTTCCAGCTACCCATGGTTCCAAATTTCAACATGTTCATGGAGCTGATGTGGAATTAGATAAGGCCATCCAAGAAAACTTGGAAGGATCAATCAACCCAGTTGATTCTCTTGGTATTACAAGAATTTCAGTTGGTCAGTTCTATTTTAATTAATGTAGCAAAAAATTGCTGAGAATATGTCTTTTTTTAAATTGAGAAAAATACTAATTATGATGTTTGTGGTTCTAGGACATGGAAGGAAACAGATAAAAGATAAAGCTTTTGCAATGCCAGCTCAACACCAAAGTGCTCAGTCTTCTCAAAGGAAAGATATTGAGATTGCTTCTTCATCTCAATCTGGTTCTGCAATTAATTCTGAACCAAATATAATTGATCTAGAACCAGAACAAATTGAGTCAGAATCAGATGACAGTGACTTCCAATACATTGTCAGACCACCCTCTAAGAGAAATAGTAGAAAGCAAAAGCAAAGAAAAATAGAATTATCGAAAAAAAGATCAGAAGATAGTACAGTTACCAAAAAAACTCGTAATCGTTCCACTCGTAAATTTGTCTTTGAAGAAGTAACAGGTGTAAAGCCTACTGCTGCAGCTCTTCAGTCAAATGCAGTTCCTAAAGTGAAAGCAGGAAGAAAGAAGGGGAGTAAGATCAGAACTGTTGCTGTTGATTCTGAAAATGAAAATACTTCTCTGGATGAATCCCAGCTGATTGTTGATGTTCCAGTGAAAAATGTGAAGAAAACATGTTCACGTCAATCCAGCCAAGCAAGTAAAAGCCTTCCTGATATTGAAACAGGTGAAGGTGCGTCTTCCTCATCCACTGTTCGCAGGTCGTTGCGTGCTCCCAAAAGGAAGAAAGCATTCTCTTTCCCAGAGGATGAATAGGGAAAGCTTTCCATCCATGCTGCTTTTGAGATGCATGGCATGGATATTTATGTTAGGTTCATTACTATATTTGACACATTTGTCACTGTGATTTTTATTTTTCTACATTTTTTTACCTTATGTGATAAAGAAATACCCATAGCATTAAGTTTGTTTCCTTATTAGCTCCTTGCTCCTTTTAAATTTTATTATCATTTTTTTTTTCAACAAGGTTATTAGTATTTCTTCGAGTTGTAAGAATAAATTTCAAAGAGTACTTGTTTGACAGGCCTCCCGCCTTGCGAGGCACGTTGTGGTCCCGTGTGCTTTCTTCCAAGAGGTATGCTGGCTGGGTACGCTGCTTTTGTTTCCAGCCAACCCTTCGCATCGCTGGGCGCTGCCTTTAATCACTCGGAGCGTGTCGAGATTTTGAAGAGCCTACTCTTGGACGGGGAGCCATTTCTGTGCACTGTAGCTTCGTGGGTCCCAGGCTGTATTCGAGACTATTATGGCGTCTCGGACCTCGGCGGTGGCCTGTTCGATGTACGACACCAGGTCCGCCTCCTCGCTGCGGACGGTGCCATCCGCCCAGGAGGACAGGGACACGCCTGGCTCCGGGAGGTAGCTCACGGACGACGGCTCCCTCCGGTGACTCCGGTGGTACGACGGCGGCGGCTCTCCGCGGCGCACCTTGCTGTCCCGGCCCTCTGTGCAGCGCGCGAACACGCACGCGCACAGGCACACGACGCACGCACACGCACACAGAAGCACAAACCCATAGTCCCACATCGAGCACCCTGACGGACAGCAGGGACGATCAGTAACAGGGGCAGCAGCGGTACTGCTGGTCACAGGCCGTGCGGGGCTGGTAGTCACAGGAGCCACCGTACTGCTTGTCACAGGCATTGGGCTTCTACTTGTCACGGGATTGACCGTACTGCTTGTCACAGGCATGTGGCTTCTACTTGTCACGAGATTGACCGTACGGCTTGTGGCAGGCTCTGCAGGGCTGCTTGTCACAGGTTCTGGAGGGCTTCTTGTGACCGGTTCTGCAGGGTTGCTCGTCGGGGGCGCGGTGGAGCCCTTCTGGTCGCTGGTCACGTTTCCCGGCTGGTGGCACCCGCACCGGCACTTTTCCAGGAGGAACGCCCTGGAGCACCTGCAGTCGAAGTGAGTGCAGCCGCGCAAGTGCGCCTCCTTCTTGTTCTCGCACTCCTCGCGCCTGTAGCACTCTGCCCAGCGGTCGTAGTGGTCCAGGCCGGCCACGGGGAGGTCGTTGCAGCTGCACTCGCAGTTGGCCCTGTACATGCGCTCGCACCTCCAGTCGCCCTCGTCGCACCCCCGCGCCGCACCGGAGCACTGGAAGGAACCATCAGTCCCCATAATATCCCCTCCCGAATAAAGTCACGTGGTTTGCGCAAGCCCCTAACACGACAGTCGTGCCTTGCCAGCGCACCATGCACTCAGACCATAAAGGGTTGAGACACTCACCTGCCGATTGCTCACGCATTCTTGATAAGTAACCCAGCGATCACAGAGACTCGCGGTGTCCCAGAGACTGCCGTACCTCTGACGCCCTATTTGATCCCCGGACAGGGCGGACTCGCCCTCGGCCATGGTAGCCGGAAGAAGCAGCACGACGACCACCGAGGCGGCCAGCATCAGAGGTTGTCCAGTTAGGACGGATCCGTGCGGATCCGTGCGGACGCACACGGATTGTCCGGAACTTTGCGGACGCACGTTTTAAAACGCATTGGCAGGTCTAAAAATGATTGCATGTGTGTTCATTAACATATATTTGGAAAGAGGAACATTGTTCTACAAAAATAATGCCACTTTTAAGCCATTTTATTCTCGGGAGGTTTTACTGTACTTTATAAGCATATGGCTAAAAAGTGGCATTATTTTTGTAGAACAATGTTCCTTTTTCCAAACATATGTTAGTGAACACATATGCAACCATTTTTAGACCCACCAATGCGTTTTAAAACGTGCTTCCGCAAAGTTCCGCACAATCCGTGTGCGTCCGCACGGATCCGCACGGATCCGTCTTAACTGGACAACCTCTCAGGCACCGCAGCATCTGCAACGCGCGGCGCTGCTCAGCGGATGCTCAGCGGAACCGAACGGCAACACCAGGTCTACAAACTTGATGCTCTGGAGGGCGAGCGCTCGCGGGTAGTGCGGGAGGTGCCGGCTGGAGCGGCTGTCCGCTTCTGACGCATTCGGAGTTCGCGGCGACTCCGCGACGTCCTCCAGGGCGACCTACTGATAAAGGCCTGAGTCACTCACTCCATGAGTTCACTCGGTATTACCCCCCCCCCCCGCATTCCTCAACTGTTTTTGTGACTGACGATAAGGGACCATCGAGACTTACTGCAGATTTTAAACAAAAACATATTTCCTTCGAAACTTGTTCATTCATCCTGATTGAATGGGTGTGGTCCGGAGTCGATTAAATGTTTAGACAGTAGGCGTTAGCTCCATAGTCGACCAATCTCAAGTATAGTAGGGTAACGAAACGGCATCAAAACTCTCAATTCTCATCGTTGTCATTTTTTCAAAAAAATATCTTATAATTCATCCACATGCTCCGTTACGAGCACTCTCTAAATTCATGGTTGTAAAAATATTTAACCCCAAAATTCTTATTTCCATCACAAGTTTTAACAACAATATTCGTATTTTCATCACAATTTTGTGTTTTTAGTTTTTTAGTGTAGAGCCCTGTGAGCAGAGCAGCCCTCTCTCCTCCGCCATCCGAGGTGAAAATAGCGGCTGCTTTGGACAATTACGAGTGCGGGCGGGGCGGGGCAAGGCGGGGCGGGGCGGGGCGGCCAGGCGTGCGAGGCGTGACAGACGCGGCGGTGCGCTGCAGCTGCGTCGCCCTGGCCCAGTCGCCAGTCTGGGTGAAAGCTCCGAGGGGCATGCTCGAGCCCCGCGCGACAGCAGCCTGCGCAGCTGCCATGTGCCCGGGGGATGCTCATCGTGGTCCTGCTGCTGGTGCTGCTGCCGCACGGCGTCCCCGCCGCGCCGCCCCTCGACGGCGACCCGGCGCCCGCGCCCGCGGCGGGGCGGCGTGACGGCGTCGCGGACCTGACAGTGACGGTGCGGCGGCGCCAGAACGACAGGATGTCGCCGGGCGCCGCGGACAACATCCCTTCCGTGTACCGGCGCCTGTTGGCCGGCGGGCTGGGCGCCGGGCACGCTGCGGCCTCCAGGAGGTGGATCAGCGCCGGCCACCCCGACGGCCTCCTCGGCCCCGCCGAGAGCGCGCCCGCCGGCACCAAGATCACCTTCCCGGACGACGCGGGGCTGGACCTCCCCGCCGGCTCGAGGATCGTGTTCCCACCCGCTGGCCACCGGCTGCACAGCAAGAAGGCCAAACTCCGCGAGAAGATAGCCAAATGTAAGTACCAAGCGCGAGTACATCGTAAAAATCGTAAGTAAAACAACAACATAAAAAACAATAACGAATCTAAAATGTGTGTTGCTGCAAATCTATAAAATTGTACATTTTAAAAACGCAAACCCATGCTTTTCGTGCTTTAAAAGTGTTCCTCTTTAAAAGGAAATAATAATGGCAAAGGGAACCAAAGCGGCTCCTGGTAAATTGCAGCTATTCCTTGAGAAACGCCCGCCATTGTTCGCAGTCCTGAACCTCTTCACGGTGGTGCAGTTCCCCAACGACGCCTGCGAGGCCCCCGCCGTGGGACTGACGGGCACCTGCTACCACCACCTGCAGTGCCGCTCACTGGGCGGCCACCCGGGCGGCGCGTGCGCGCAGGGGTACGGCGTCTGCTGCCTGTGTAAGCAGCACCATTAGTCGACATCAGCGCTGTATTAGCTATAGCAATTCCATTGGTAATAGCAGTAACGTTAGTAAAATCAGTGCTTTAGCAGTACCGTTAATATTATGAGTGCTATTAAAAACATAAATGTATTAGCAACAAAGGTATTATTAACACCACTGCTATTAATAATAACAGTCCTATTAGTAATACGAGTTATCAACACCGAAACAGTTACTCAACGTTGTTAAAAAGAGTTTGAAAGTTCTAAATATTTCGTGCGTTTGCTTCAGACTGCATGTTTTTGTGCTGCATGATAACAGATCACTGAGGAAGTTGTTTGACATGACGTCGGAGTTTGGGGGGTGACCCCTCCTCTCCGAGTAGACTTATAAGATTGGCAGTGGCGAGAGCGGGTTAGACTCCAATTAGAAAATTTCGAGGCAAAGTGAAAAAAAAGAGGCAGAAAGAGACTTTCGTTTTCTGGTGCACGCGTGTGTCACTGTCACGGCCATGGGCGTCGCGTCGCGGCTGCGCCCTGGACCGTGGCGGCGCGGAGGAGTGCCCAGAGGATGGAGCGTTGGGAGGTCACGGTAGCGACCGCAGCCACAGGGAGAGCCGGGCGCCTGCAGCGCGCAGGGTAGGCCACGCGCTCAGCACGCGAGCGCGGCGGGCCCGGCCAGGCAGCTTGCACGGCGCTCCCCTAGTAGGGAAGAAGGGAGGGAGGGAGGGAGGGAGGGGGGGAGG